GGGGTCAGAGGGGAGCTTGGGGAGCAGGCAGGGGATGGGGCCTGGCAGGGTCCCCCCATGGTCCCCTCCCTCACGCCTACTTACCAGCTCCAAGTCCGGCTGCAGCTCCCTGCTGCAGCCACCAGGGACTTTCCAAATCATCTAAATTCTCCAAATCTTTTCCAAAGATTCAGAGAGCTTCGAATCGATTTGGACCTTTTAATTGGTCCCCTGATTTGATTCAAATTCAGAGATTCGGCCACTAAATCGGGCCAAATCTCCTCTGAATCAAATCACCACCCAAAGCTTCACACAGCCCTAATGCTTGGGGGGGGGGAATAGGAGATACTCTGTTTACCAAGGCGTCCCTTAGAGTAACTAGAAACAATGGCCACAAACTGACAGAGAGCAGATTTAGACTAGACATTAAGAAGAATTTCTTCACGGTAAGGGTTACCAGAATCTGGAACAGGCTTCCAAGGGAAGTGGTGCTCTCCCCTGCCTTGAGGGTCTTTAAGAAGAGACTGGACAAGCACCTGGTTGGGGTCATCTGACCCCAGCGCTTTTTCTTGCCCAGGGCAGGGGGTCGGACTCAATGACCTACTGAGGTCCCTTCCTACCCTGAAAATCTATGAAAGTCACAGGGAGCTGTTCCTGCTTCCTGTCGAACATGTAGCGTGATGTCTCCATAAAACAGTGGGAGATATATCACACCTGGAAGACTGTTGGAGGGAGTTTTCTCTGTGCTTTGCAAGGACAGAGAAGAGCTTTGAGGCAGTGGATTAACTCCCTGCGGAAGGCAGTCTGGGTGCAAGCATAGAGATACATATTCACCGCAGTGTTGGTCAGTTCTAACATGGTGCCAATATCCGCTGCAACATTAATGCCTTTGGAGTAATCCTGTCTATCAATGTCATAATAGCAGGTCTTGAGAATAATCTGGGTGACAAATCTAGTGGTACAGAGATAAGCAAATGTCATGGAGACAGTGACCAGGAGGATGATAGATCTCTTCTTCTGGTTCCCAAAGTGTGTCCCTGAAGCCATTCTGTGAATCCCTCCATCCTTCCCACAGTGCACTTTGTTACTGAGGATAATCTGCCGAAGACTCAGGCCATTCAAGATGAAGATGATGATAAAGGGGATAATGTTGACCAGGGAGGTCTGAAACCAAACCAGACCCTCAATGAAATAGTCAGGGAGGTCCGGGTGGTACACACAGACCGCACTTCCTGTTCCATTTACTATTTCTGATTTGTTGGACCAATAATATGGGATGGCTGCTGCATAGCTACAGATGTGGATCAAGATGATCATGTAGAGTGTGCTTCTTGGGGAGCACATCCTCCCCTTCAGCTTGAAGGTGTTCAGAGCGATGAAACGCTCGGTGGTGAAGGAGACCACCAGCCAAACGGAGGCATTGACTGCTCCATAGCTGAAGACGTCCCGGAGGGTGCACCAGGGGTCCTTGTACCAGAAAGGCTCCAGGCTGTAGTATTTCAGGATCATCTCTGTGATAACAATGAAGATAAGAACGATAGTGTCGGCCAAGGACATCGCCATCAGGTGGTAGCGGCTGGAAGTACAGATTAAGCCGTCCCTTCTCCAGAAGATTACAAATGTCATGATGTTTGCTGAAAGAGAGACAGCAGCTCAAATACGAGTTGGGAGCTAACCTGGGGACTCCTTTTTTGCTGAACCCCAAATCCAAGAGGAACCATCTCAGCACAAAATTATGCCAAATCATCATCCTCTCTGAGCCCTTATCCTACAACAGCCCTGTGGGGTTCCACCAATCCTTAGATCTCATTCCCAGTCCACGTGGGGACAATGACTGATATAGTGTATTATTATTTCACTCTATCTAGAAAGGCTCAGGGCAGCTTACAATAAAAGATGAGCAACCCATGGGGCAAGGAACAATAATAGATTCCCCAAGCAATGCTCTAAAATTTTAAAACCCCAGCTCATCTACTCACCTCTCCCTGCCTATCACCCAGTTATACATTTCAGAATAAGCTGCTCTACAATGGCTCCCAGTACTCCCAAATAATTCCCAGTGTCATAGTATTCTGGAATAAAAATGATGGTGTTCGGTAGTCATTATTGTGCTTTGGAAGTGCATTCAACATTTTTGGATAAAGAAACTTTTATTCCAGAATGAAGTGTTGATCTGGGGAGCCACTCCAGAATAGCTAGTCTGGTCAGCTTCTTAGTAAACAGGGCAGGGGGAGGCTATGGCTGTTGGCTTGCTAGAGAGACTTTTCTGCCAGGTTGAAGTACAGATAACCTAGAAATGAAAATCAAATCCTTCCCATTTTTATTTCTTTATGGTCATGAAAGAGTTTTGCTTTGTCCATTGGACATCCAGGTCTCTGTCCACTCTGGAAATCTGGGGGCAAGTGGAAAACTGATGAAATTATGACAGCACAATGGACAAAGCAAGGAGTTCTGGTAAATTAAAGAGGGGAAGGGATTTGTAGGCAGACAGGTTATGTTTTGCTTGGTAAATGTATAGGAGAAAATAAAGATTAAGGGCACCCTAGATTTAAATTGGAACAGAGCTCCCAATATTAGAAGCATATCATGGTAGGAGCACGCAGGCATAGTGCATGGGACAGTGCTGGCTGGGGGTGGGACTTTCCAATATACATCCAATATCCCACCAAGCCACAAAAAAGGGAACGGACACCCCTGATATCTGTGATGGCTCTGTCTATATGGACAAAATTAACTGGCCTGGCTAAGGAACTCTGGAATAACTATTCTGCCTGGATATATTTTCCTAGAATAAAAATTCTTTCCCACAATAGTTGTTTGACAACCATGTTGTAGACAAGCCCTATCACTAAAACCAAATAAACCAAATCCAAACAAACCCTTTTGTTATGAAGATTTACAAATGTATCTGTTATGAAGAAGCATAAGGAGGAGACTCAACTGCTGGCGACTTCAAAAACAAAGGGTGAAATTCTGGCTCAGAGTCAACAGGACTTTTGACTATCAATGCCAATGGAGCTAAATGCTTATTAAAAGGATTACAAGCCTGATGCTTATTAAATGAAGACTGAGAAAAATGTGCAGGATGTTGCAAAAAAAATTGCAGTAAGAAATACCAAATGGTTCATAATTTTTTCATACTCCTAATGTTCTCTTGCTGTGAGACCACTCAGCTTCTGTTGCAGTCAGTGGATGGGAATGCAGAGCCCATGACACCCCATTTCAAAAAGGATGCTGAAACAGTGGAAAGAGTTTATAAGAACTGCAGGGATCATGTAAAGCCTACCTGAAAAGCCTACCTTCCTGATAGGGATTTAAGAAACTCAATCTATTTAAGTTATCAAAGAGAACTGTAAGAGGAGACTTGATCTTGGTCGGAAAGTACTTATTCATGAAGCCAAGTTCTCATAGCACAGCATTCTCTAATCCAGCAGGTGAAGACAGACAAAATCCAGCAGAGAAAATAGAAGCAAGACAATTAGATAGCAAATATAAGGTGCAAATTTTTAACAACGAGAAAATGTAGCTAGGGAGGTGGTATATATTTGTCTTATTTAAGATCCTTTAGGGCATATTTGTATGTATGGCTGTTTGCATGAAGTTTTGTTTTTCCAGATTAAAGTGATTAGCATCCACCTTTATATAGGAGTGTTAAACTCACTGGGCCTCCAGGCCAGATTGGGCCATTGGGCTCCTCATGGGCCAGCCCCAGCCCCAGCAGCGACAGTAGCATGGGAGTTAACACAGCTATTGCTCACTCCCCACACCACTGATATGCCCTTAACAGGGTTTTATAGTTGGGAATTTGGTGGTGGGCTCGGTAAAACAACTCTGTAGACTCGATCTGGCCCACAGGCTACATCGTTGACACCCCAACATAATACAGTTCTTTTCTGAAGTTCCCTGGCCACTTTCTGCAAAGTGGCTAATCTACTTAGAAAATGGATTCAATTTATATAGGGGTGAGTTAGTGTGGAATAGGTCCAGTGAGAGCCTCTGTATTTCAGGTGAGCTTTTCCATGGCTGGCCATCCTCCTACTGCTTCCCACACTGCACTGTGCATAGGAAGATTAATCAAATCTGCTCCAACCTGCTTGAATTAGAACGTGAATGAGCACGTCTATAGGAACCCTTCATCTCCATATCCCTTGGCCACATCAACCTTTTCCCCATCATGCATGCATTCCCTCTCGTTCCTGGTTGATCTTGGTCCTTGCATGCTCAAAATGGTGCCTGTGCTGTTAGAATGTGAACAATACACTGCTGATTTCTATGACACACCAAAAGATTCCCCATTTCATCCCACTTGACTGCTTTTCCCTGTTCCAACCCTGCCCTCAAGCTGGTGATGCTGCAGTAGTTGAATTGTAAGGCAGGCATGTTGCTCCCCCACCCAAGCTTTCAGCTCTCTTAGCATTTTCTGACATCCATTTCTGAAAGCGAGGTGTTTTAAATGCATAGCAATTCTGTGGCACTCGGCTCATTTTAGCCCATTAGGTTCAGAGCAATTACTGCAGGGGCGGCCAATTATTTCAGGCAGAGGGCCGCTTACTGAGTTTTGGCAAACCTTCGAGGGCCACATGACAGGCAGCCAGGGGCAGATAAATATTAATTTTCTAAATTTTTTAGGGGTCCTGTGGGCCAGATGGAATGAGCTGGTGGGCTGCATCCAGCCCGCGGGCTGCATTTTGCCCACCCCTGAATTACCGTGTATTGCGCAGGGCACTTTGTGCTGATCTGCGGATATTGTTTAAGAGAAGTGATGGCAAAGATAATGCTCAATTTTAGTCCATGCACTGCAGCCAGTGCTGGTGTCGTGGGGCAGTTAGGGCTGTCCTTTTCCTGCAGCCTCTCCGAGTCAGGGGAAAGGAGAGAAGGCATTCTGGTGAGCATCATCAATGCCTATCTGCTGCTCTGCCTTTTTTGACCAAGATCTTTCTCTGAGTCTTGATGACACACCTCTGGGTAACATCCTCTGCAACAAAGAGCCTCTACAGAGGTGCACACAGGCATTGCCTGACCTGTCCTTTGTTCCCTTTTCTGGAAGCATAAACCCATGGGCAAGGTTCTGTGGATTGTGCTATGCAAGAGGTCAAGGAGAAGCTGATTCTGATGGCTCCTTCCCACCTTAAAATCTATGAAGAGGATATTTTTTGGCCACGCTCTATTGCCCAGCATACTCACATGGGATTCCAATGATGGCCAGGACAGGGTAAAACACTTTCTGCAGAGTGATCATCCAGTGATCCTGAGTCATTCTGAAGAGCAGCTCTTCTTTCTGAAGGTCTTAATCACTGTCTAACAAATCCAGCAGCCCCCTGAGGATTTTCAGGTTGTGTGTGTGTGCGGCAGGAGTTCTTTCTCCTAACAAGCTCCCCATGAACAAACAATTCCTGTTTTTTTTAATTTACCCCAGGCTCTAGAAACCCCGTGTTAATGATTACCCAGCTGCAGAAAGAAGGCTCCGCAGCAGGCAGATGTAACTGTTAAGTGCCATACAAATCAAAGCAGGAACTTGGTGGAAAGGCACGAGTGGGGAGCAGATGAGGATGGAGGCTAGGGGCATGGAGCATCTTGTGCTCGTATTCTCTGAATAGCAGCAGAGCAGGAAATTTGGGTGCATGCTTAAAGACAGGCATTGAAGCTACACGGAGTCCATTTCCAGCTCACCCAACAACTCCTTTTTGACCTTGGAAAAGACATGCAAGGCCATATTTTCCAATATATTTAGGCATTGATGTAGTTAGATGCCTAACTCCTATTGATTGTAGCAGGACTTGTGCACCGAAGCTACTTAGCTGCTTTTGAAATTCCCACTCTATCTTTCGGCAGCCAAATACCTTTAAAAATATGGCTCGTAGCCTTTGTACTGCAAAACAGGGATAAAGATGCCTCCTTCCTCCTAACCCCATCTGCATTACCAGATTCTTGGGCATAGCCTCTCTCTTGCCATGTGCTTATACAGCACCTGGCATGTTATTGTGCTGGTGTCAAAATAATATTAGTCCTTGCTGCTGCTGGACTATGAACAACAGTGTTACTGGTCAGGAGTGGTTTCAGGTGGACACTCCAAATGTCACTAAGCCTGGGGGCTAAGCCCATTCCTGCTGGTCTCAGAGTTAGTACTCCTAGTGCTATATTACTAGCTAGGAACTAGTACTTCTAGTAATATATTACCGGGGAGCTAGTCCTGCTAGCGTTTATGTTCTCTTCCCCTTTGCGGTTCTATCTCTAAATAATAGCAAAAGAGACTTTATGTACTTATCAGAAGCAGCAAGAAATGGGGATGGCAAGGAGGGGGTGCAGTGTTGCCAGTTCTCAAGATTTGGGGTGTATTTTGGCCCCGTGATGGAAAGCTGCTGGCTTGTTTTTCCCTTTTATCAGTATAGCTTTTATCTCCTGTTACTGCCACCTGGGCTGAAGTTGGGCAGATGACTGTCACAGTCAAGGGGCAGGTGACATAAGCCTATCCTTCATGAAGGTGTCTGCTGTCACTCAGTGTTTTCTATGATCCACAAGCAAAATTCACTCTAGAATTGAAAAGGGTTAGAGTACTGCTTGCTTTCCTCCCTCCTCCCTGACTTGGTCCACGTGTAAGGAGCTACATGAAGCCTTGTCTGTCCTTGCCGAAGCTCCAGTATGAGGAGGTAGGCTCATGATTATTCATGCCTCACTGTTCTGTAAGGAACTAAGTGCTCCATCCTTTTCCCTCACCCTCAGTCCCTGTGCCAAGAGTTAAGTGCTGGCTTAAATAGATGTGCTATTGAAATGGGGTGCTGCCTAATTCACAGGAGTTACAGAGGGTGATGGAAGTCTACAAAAGGTGGAAAGCCACTGATTTAAACAGCACCCTGTTAGGGCATGGACTGTGAGGACAACAGGGACTGTGCCTAAGGGGGAATGGGGAAGGACGTATCTATATGTGTGATGACCGTCCACTCATCTTTGATTCCAGTATACAGAGATCCCAGTATACATACAAAGACTGCAGGGCTCAGTTTGGTGGTGGAGATTCAGAGAGACATTTTCTACAAGACCCGGTGCTATCATTCCCATTAACTCATTCTTGCCTGCAACAATGGGCCAGCACAAACCACATCCCCCAGGCCAATGCAAGATTTCAAGTTTTCCAGCTCTTCTGTTATACAGATCAGCCCATGCGCTGAAGGAAAGCATGTTGACTAAAAGAGGCCATGTATTATATTCCATTGGTACCTCAGTCCACCCTGTGCCTGTCCTGCATCCTGATCTTTGTTCCTGTTCTTTCTTTACCATACAAGTATTGTACTGCCTGGTGCTTGTCTTGATGTATCTGATTCCCTTTCCTAGTGGTATTGTGCATCTTGAATTAGTTCACAGCTCTAGCAAGGTGTATACTGGTAAATACCTTGGCAAAGCCTGAACAGAATATGTGCTTATCATTATCAATACCTGCACTAATCAATGCTTCGGTGAGGCCCACAAGAGATGCGGAGGCAAAAACTGTGGGGAATGGTTTGAGTGAGGGAATACAGCAGATAGTAATGGGAATGAAAGATGAAGGAGAAGGGTGGGCCCCACTGAGCAGCTGGGACTAAGGCAGCTTGGCTATCTCTGGGTCTCACATGCAGGACATGTCCGTAGGCAGTGAGAGGAGAGGATAATTCAGATAAAATGGATTATTTGTTTGCTATTTGAACAATGATTTGTAATTATACTTATTAAAAGCTATGTTTATTGTAATAATTGTGTAATTTACAGTTGGTGGATCATATATAAAGACATGAGAATGATTTAAAGGTATGTTTAAATGTTGTTAATGTATGACAATTGATTTTTAAAAAATAATATTTAAGGATTCTAAATATAATTACAGCACTGACTAATATGAAGGCCAGGTCGGATTACATTTCCTTCAGCACTTTGCAGGGTGATCAATGCTGTTAAGTCACTCTTACATGTAGATCGTTGCCAGTCGCATACATTTTTATTGATTTTTTCATAGATTTCATAGACATTAGGGCTGGAAGGGACCTCGGAAGATCATTGAGTCCAGCCCCCCGCCCAAAGGGCAGGAAGTCAGCTGGGGTCATAGGATCCCAGCAAGATAAGCATCCAGTTTCATCTTGAAGGTGTTCAACGAAGGCACTTGAACCACCTCCGGTGGCAGGCTGTTCCAGACCTTGGGGGCTCGGACAGTAAAGCAATTCTTCCCTATGTCCAGCCTGAAACAATCTTGAAGTAGTTTGTGACCATTCGACCTCGTCATCCCTTGGGGTGCTCTGGTGAACAAACGTTCCCCCAGATGCTGGTGGTCACCCCTGATAAACTTGTAGGTGGCCATCAGATCACCCCTGAGCCTGCGCTTTTTCAGGCTAAAGAGCCCCAGGGCTCTCAGCCTGTCATCGTAGGGTCTGTTTCCCTGACCTCTGATCGTGCGCGTGGCTCTTCTCTGGACTCTCTCAAGCTTCTCCACATCCTTTTTGAATTGTGGAGCCACAAACTGGACACAGTACTCCAGCTGCGGCCTCACTAAGGCCGAGTACAGGGGGAGAATGACGTCCCGGGATTTGCTTGAGAAGCATCTATGGATGCAAGCCAGCGTTTTGGTCGCTTTACTAGCCGCCGCATCACATTGCAGGCGATTGATAAATAACTGGAAAGCTGAAACCTAAAGTACAGCAGGCACTTTGTGATCTTTGGATGTTTACTATTAATTTTCCAATCACATTTTATAGCTGTGGTAAAGATAATACGGTTAGATGAGAAAGCAAGCTTGGCAAGAGACCAAGAGGAAATGAGGTGGTGGTGAGAGGTGGTGGTGAGAGTTAAGGAGAGTCTCCAGTTTGGACTGGAGGCACCTCCTGGGTCATCGGGTCCATCTTCTTGCCCTCACAGGCAATTTCAGGATTTTGTGGGGTCTGACTCTGAATTTCTGATCTCTTGTGGTTGGCAATGCTGGGGGTGTTGGTTTAAAAATACCATTTTTATTTCCATGGTGACAAAATATTCTAGGTTCTGTATGACTTCAGAGCAGTGCCCGCAAATTCATACTCCAAATCACAAACCAATCAAACATGCTCTGCAGTTTCATTATGTTCAGCGCACGCCAGCGATAGAAAATGTGCCTTCCACCAGCTGGTTGGTTATTCTCTGGGAAGTGCTGACCTCTGGAGGACCAAATCCTTACTGCTGCCATGTCTCAAAGCTACTCCATTTTCCAAATACTCTGGCTCTCCATGCAGGCAGGAGAAAAGGTCTCCTCCTTCCCAGCAGAGGAGCTCTGCTGTGGAAAAATACTGGACTTTATTGTACAGGAGTCATGAAACCTAGATGCGTGGTGTGATGGAGCACCAGTTCCTCTGGCACAGGAAGATACTGGACTGACTTCCCATTTGCAAATGACGACTTAGGGATTCATCAGTCCCCAAACCAGTCCCACTGACGTGGGGTTCAGACAAAGTCAGCTTATAGCAACGGTTTCCCTTGAAGACCGCCAGGCATTTTATGGCTCCACCGGAGCTTGGCCTGTTGACACGAGGCTTCCTGTACACCCCACCTGTTGTTGGTAGGATGAAATAGAGATGGCCCATTCTGTTCTTTTCTCCCTAGAGGCTGAATAAACCCCTCTGTCTAGTCTTTATCATTCCTCTGAGTGCATTAGAAATTGCTACTTTCAGTTCTTATTAAGGGAGAGACAGTGACTCATAGATTTACTTTGCTTGGCATTTTCCACTCCAGAGATTTTTGGAAGATCTCCAGAACATCCATGGTTTGCAGCAGGAAGTTGCAATTTGACTGTGGGGATGGTCCTGGCATGGGGCAGGTACCAGTTGTTGTTCCCAGGAAAATCCATTTAGATTTGGCTATGTGCTATTGAATCCCCCGTCCCATCCCACTATTTCCTAACCGTCTCTTCGCACTGGAAGCTGGCTGCTGAAACAACTGAACGCTTTCTGCACCGCACATGCCTCCCCAACATCTCCCTTCAGTGTGATGCATGTAGCTAAGCCTCTACACGGGACATAGACAAAATACCCTTTGCTCCCTCCTGTGAGCCAATGGGACTAACTATGACTTCTAGGCTTGGTTCTTGGGGCAGGGATTGTCATTAGGTCTTTACAGTGACAGTGCCAAACACCTACAGGCATTCTTATGGTATTGCTGTTAGTTCTGCTGCTACCGGGTGTTGATAATTCTGTGCTTTTCACTGCTCTTGCCTATCTCAGTGAAAGACTGCACCAACTGGGAATGGAAACTGGACCTCCAGTCTGGTCACAACGGTCCATTCAGCCATTGTCCATCCTAAAGATCCTGCCATGTCTAAGTGCTTGTCTGTGCTATTAGAAAAAAAACAGGGTTAACTCTTGCACACAGGCCTGGTCTACACCACATTTTGCCAGCTAAGCTGTAGTTCAGTCAGCAAAACTGTCCCATCTTCTGTGTCCACAGAACTCTCCCCCCTGCCAGCAGTTGTCCCTGTCACAGGGTGCTTGGGGCACATGGCATTTTAAGAAGAAAGGCTGAGAGAGAAGCAGCCCATAGGTGTAGCATGGGAGTCAGCTGACCAGAAGGGGGCTGGGTTTGAGGCATATAAACCCAGGACCTGCGCTGGTCAGGGAGTGTACCCCAAAGTGCCAGTGGGAGAGGAGCTCCTGGCACCAGGGCTTCTGCCTTCATAGAAGCATAGAAAATGAGGGTTGGAAGGGACCCCAGGAGTTCATCTAGTCCAACCCCCTGCTCAAAGCAGGACCAGCTCCAACTAGATCATCCCAGCCAAGGCTTTGTCTAGTCGGGTTTTAAAAACCTCCGTGGCTGGAGCTTCCACCACCTCTCTAGGTAACCTGTTTCAGTGTTTTACTACCCTCCTAGTGAGAAGGTTTTTCCTAATATTTAAACTACACTTCCCTTGCTGCTACTTGAGACCTTTGTTCCTTGTTCTGTCATCACTGAGAACAGTCCAGCTGCATCCTCTTTCGAACCTCCTTCAGGTAGTTGAAGGCTGCTATCAAGTCCCACCTCAATCTTCTCTTCTCTAGACTAAATAAGCCCAGTTCCTTCAGCCTCTCCTCAGAAGCTCAGTACCATTTTTGTTGCCCTCTGCTGGACTCTTTCCAATTTGTCCACATCCTTTCTGTAGTGGGGGACCCAAAAATGGACACAGTACTCCAGATGTGGCCTCACCAGTGCAGAATACAGGGAAATAATCACTTCCCTTGACCTGCTGGCAATGCTCCTACTAATGCAGCCCAGGATGCCATTAGCCTGCTTGACAACAAGGGCACATTGTTAGCTCATATTCAGCTTATTGTCCAGTGTAACCCTCAGGTCCTTTTCTGCAGAGCTTCTGCCCAGTCACTCAGCTCCCAGCCTGTATTGATGCATGGCACTGTTCTGTCTTAAGTGCAGAACTTTGCACTTGTCCTTGTTGAACCTCATGACATTTCTTTTGGTCCAATCCTCCAATTCATTGAGGTCTCTCTGAATCCTAGCCCTACCTTCCTGTGCATCTATACTCCCTCCAGCTTCAAGCCATCTGCAAACTTGCTGAGGGTGCACTCTTATGCCATCTTCCAAGATATTGAACAGAACCAGCCCCAGGACTGATACCTGGAGCACTCCACTTGATATCAACTGCCAACTAGACAACAAGCCATTGATTATTAGCCTCTGTGCCTGATGATCCAGCCAGTTTTAAATCTGTCCATTTACAGTTGTACAGTTCATTTATCCAACCTGTACTTCCTTACCTTGCTTGTGAGAATGTTGTGGGAGATGGTACCAAAAGCCTTGCTAAAGTCAAGGTATATCACATCCACTGGTCTCCCCACATCCACAGAGCCGGTCATAGAAGGCAATCATGTTGGTCAGGCATGAGCTGCCATTGGTGAATTCAAGCTAACTGTTCCTAATTACCTTCTTCTCCTCCAAGAGCTTAGAAATGGATTTCTTGAAGATCTGATTTTTCCAGGGACTGA